TCAAGTTGTCTAAGAGCCTCGTTTGATAGCTTCTGCTTCAAGCTATCTACAATGTGCTTGTAGACCCCCAAAGACGACATGTGCATGATGTCCACCATAATTTGCCTATATGGGTTGCCAAAGCTTGTCTCACCAAAGCGGAATCCCCACAACACACTCTGCAATCATCAAATTAAGACATGTTTAGCACGAACGTGCCAAGGTACACCTCGTAACGCTCACTCCAATTTGAAAATGCAAGTCTGTGCCCACCTTGAAAAAATGAGTAATGTGCTTGACCTCCAATTTTTCGATTGCTTTTTTGTTTGGGGCCAGCTGCATTTCACGAAAGAGCGTGCGTTGCTCAGTCTCTGTTTGATACTGCAGGGGAGAAGTCATATCACTGAGCATTTCATTTGGGACTTCGCATTTTGGGCAGGGGAAGGCAGTCAGGATCCCAACTTTGGTAGCTGCCACCTTTCCGGGTAGTCCCCAACATATGCATAGGTGACAGGGTAGACCCAATGTTCGATGCCATAAGGGTCTGTCAGCTTCTCCTCACTGTTAGGAAGGGTAGGAGTCGGATAGTCAATGTAAAACAATGGCTAATCTAAATTACAACATGTAGACACCAAAAAGTACGAATACCAAGTAGCATGGTGGGGCCATGCAGGGACGAGGCAGAGAGGAGGGCAGGGAAAATTAAAGAGGAGGCAGGACACGGAGGACGACATAGATGAGGGCAGGGCGGAGGGCAGGGCGGAGGGCAGGGCGGAGAGCAGGGCGGAGGGCAGGGCGGAAGGCAGGGGGAGGGCAGGGAGGAGGGCAGGGGAGAGGGCTGAGAGGAGAGCAGGGAGGAGAGCAGGGCGGAGGGCAGAGAGGAGGGCAGATAGGAGGGCAAGTAGGAGGGTAGGGCGGAGGGCTGGGAGGGGGGCAGGGAAGAGGGCAAAAATGGAAAAACATTCCCGTCCTTGACCACGCGCAAGGGTCACAAAAAACCACTCACTTGTTTAGAACGTTCATTTGTTCTTCCAAGATGATGCGCAGTGCTTCGTGGTACACTTCATTCCGCATGCGTGTATCATCAGCCCCTTTGAAGTTTAGATCGTCAATAACAGGAAGAAGAGCGACCAAACGGCGGCCGTGAGATTTCCATCTGTTTGAGGAAGAGATGTTGGCGAGTGATATGTATACAGGCCACCCGGTGACTCCGCCGTCAGTAGTCAAAGTTGTCTGATCAGAGTAAAGGATAACAGCGGCAACATGACCATTCACGGGCAACGCATCTTCTACCTCTGCCCACCAGGTTCCAGTTTCAGGACCCTTGTAAATCCTCATCTGCTTTTTACCAAACCTACGAGCCCGAACCACGAATCCCTCTGCATTGGCCCGGTTCTGGTACAGCCCTCGTACACATGACATGCTTGAGCGCCAATACAGTACTACAGGCTTTAGGTCACCTGGCTTTCCAAGGCTTGTGGTTTGAAAGCCCTCCAAATGGGCCTCTGCAGTTTGTTTCTCCTCGAACCTATCAAAATCCTCTAGACTTCTAAGGTTAACACTTCCCAGATTCTCAAGGGCCTCAATTAATATCTGAATCAGTTCTTTGATGTCAGCTCGGAACAAACCTGCACCCCCTGCAGCTGTCCTACAGAACTTGTAAAACCTACCATCCATGTCAACTAAAGAGGGGTTGCCTGCAGGGGAAAGGTCGTAGCCAGTCATGTCTGCGTTGGGGGTCGCCGCATCTGTCTCTGGTTCTAATCGGTCCCCCAGTTCGCATGGAGTAATAATCTTATGTTTTCGGCTTCTGCACTCAAGAGCTTGACCTGCGGCCACAAAGCTACGCATGCTATAGCCCATGCCCGCCGTGCTAGCCCCAGCTGCTGCTCTACCCTGAATGTCGTGAACCGTATGCTGGCCCCTGCTCATGTGCGACGCTTTCTGTCGCTGAGTGGCAAATTTTGCTTCACAGCCCTCCTGATCGCACTCAAACGGGAGGCCTTGTTGATCCATGTTGCTGCTGCGCGATGCCGCTAAACCTGATGCTGTGAAGTTACCTGCTGCACCGCACCACTGCGGCCTGCTGCCACCGCTTTGCTGATGTGAACGCGATTGCTGCTGCGGATTCATGCTGCTGCTACTGTTGCCCTTGCGCACTGCTGCAGCTGCCAATGCTGCCAAAGCACCCGCTGCTATTAACCCTGCAAATGATCCTGTTCCTGCAGTGCGTGCAACGTGCTACTAATGTGCTCCGATGCTTCACGCGCACATGCCAAACGCACATGCTGCTAATGTGCGCCTATGCAACATGCGTCCATGCCAATGCCGCTTCTGCAGCGATGCGCTGCTGATGCCAATGCACCGAACACACCTGCTGCTGCTATGCGCTGCTGATGCCGATGCACCAAACGCACCTCGATGCGACGCTGATGCAGATGCACCGAACACATCTGCTGCTGCTATGCGCTGCTGATGCCGGTGCACCAAACACCCCTTGCTGCTGCGATGCCCTGCTGCTTACGTTGGGCTTGAGAGGCTTCTGAAGCACCTGCTATTACTGCTGCTCCTAAAGCCCCTACAGATGCGCGTTGCTGGTACTGCTGATGCCCCGAATGCACCTGCTGATGCGATCCCAGCTGCTGCGCGCCACCGCCGCTAGCGCGCCCCGGTGCTTTACGCGCACATCCCGCTGCCTCTGCTCCTAACGCCCCTACAGATGCGCGTTGCTACTACTGCTGATGCCCCGAATGCACCTGCTGATGCGATCCCAGCTGCTGCGCGCCGATGCCACTAGCGCGCTCCAGTGCTTTACGCGCACATCCCGTTGCCGCTGCTCCTAACGCCCCAACAGATGCGCGTTTCTTCTACTGCTGATGCCCCGAATGCACCTGCTGATGCGATCCCAGTTGCTGCGCGCCGCCGCCGCTAGCACGCTCCGGTGCTTTACGCGCACATTCCGCTGCCACTGCTCTAAACGCCACAAATGATGCGCATTGCTGCTACTGCTGATGCTGCAAATGCACCTGCTGATGCGATCAGCTGCTGCGCGCCGCTGCCTGTTTTACGCGCACATCCCGCTGCCGCTGCCCGATGCGCATTGCTGCTACTGATGATGCAGCGAATGCGCCAACTAATCCAATCCCAGCTGCTGTGCGCCGCTGCTGCTAGCGCGCTCCTGTGCTTCACGCGCATATCCCGCTGCCGCTACTCCTAACGTCCCTACTGCTGCGCTCTGCTGCTGCTGCCGATGCTACAAATGCACCTGCTAATGTGATCAGGCTGTTGCGCGCTGCTGCTTCAAGCGCGCTGCGGTGCCTCACGCGCAGATGTCGCTGCCTCTGCCTCTGGGGCGATGTGCTGCTGCCCACCTGTTCATACGCTTCTAGCGCGCACCGCTGCTGCCGCGGATGCTGCTGCGCAAACCGACGCGCTCATGTGCTCCAAGCGCGCACCTGCTCATCTAAATAATCTATCTGTGCTAAAACACATGCAGTCGTTTCTCCTACTGGTGCACGGCTCCTTGTAGCGGGCAAGTGCAAATGATATGATGAAGGGAGCAACTATAGTACCAGCGATTTGAAACTAGGAGAGCGATTGTTTACTAAGTAAGCTAAGTTAATTTTCGAGCCACGCATCTCTCATTTCGACAGGATAAACTGGCTGGGAGGAAGTGAATCGGGCTTGCTCCTCTGTGATTGCCAAAGTGAGTTTCTAATTTTCGCGCCAAACCATGCCCAGCATCCAAACTGACATGTTTCTGGATTGACTTGAGTGCCTTAAAGCCGGCAGCCCAAATTGTTCATCCTTTAAAAGTTGACGAGAGGGTGTTTTTTTTGCCTTGGGTCGGGCGAGCGTTTCAGATTTCGTCAAAATCGTTTTTTTCGCCAAACCCAACGAGCCCCCAGATTTCCCTCTGGTGAGTGGAGTGGACTTCGAAAGTCCCAAATTGCAGTTGCGCTGCTTTTCAAAGCTTGCACACTCAGCGTCGTCAAGTTTTAAAAACTTGACACGCGCTGTCCGCAATTTAGGACACGGGCTTTAACGAATCCGAAATGCATTTCGTTACATTGCGCAGAATGTGCAGGAGTTTGAACAACCCTAAGCAAGGAACGCAAACCATACATAGTATCGAGGTTCACAAGAAAACAAGCACATAGTCGTTTTTTTAGTCAGCTCAAAAACATAACGTTCACTGTATCAACAATGTCGAGGTGTTTCATAACCCGAACAAAACGTGTGGCTCTCGAGCCGCCACCGGAGCAACTTTCCCAACCAACGGAAGTTGCCTACGGCACTCGGCCAATTCTCTTGCAACTTGCGATGGGAAGAAAACTTGAAAACCTAAAACTGTTGAGACTGAAAAGCGAGTGATGCGCGACATGCCAAGCTTGGAAGTTGAAAGTAGCACGTTTTCAACATCTATTCCGCGAGGCCAACAATTGCCCGCGGGGCGGGCCCCCACCCGTCCCGTCCCGTCCCGGGCCGGGTTGGGGGTTTGATGGTGCTTTCACACCCGTCCCTCTCTCACACTGTCAAAACAGTAGGCTAAAACGAGAAACAGAAAAAGAGGGTTTTCACTAGCAGGCAGTTGAGTACATATAGGAAACCCTAATTTGGGTTGTTTCTCGCTATAGAGTACCCCACTTCAGGCTAGACAATGTCAGAATGAACAGGCAGGAATGATGGACTAGCAAGGATTGTGAGTACAAATATAAAACCCTAATGTTGTGACCCCCCTATAGGCTAACCCACTACAGCCTACACAAATACAACATGTATAATGTTTGACACACCCCCATAGGCAAAGTGGGGGAGACCTAGGGGTCACAAGACCAGTCAAGGCAACAACAAGCTCAGGGTGGATCTCAAGGATTCCACACAAATTCCGAGCACAAGCTAGTGGTCACAAGACCAGTTCACATGCAAGTTTATAACAGAGCAAGAGATACAGTGATCACAACCTAGCAAGAGTAAACATGCAGGTATAGATATATATAGTGATCACAGTACAAGCAAAGTCAAGAGGTAAGCAAGTGAGGTCCAGTAGGCACAAGGCCTAGTAGAGTGCAGAAGCGCTGATGGTCACGAGGCTGAAGCGCCTTGGTGAACACATCAGCAGTGTTGGCCTCAGTGGCCACGTAGCGAATACAAAGCTGACCGCGCTGCTGCAGCTCTCGAGCAAGGAAGTACCGCAGGGCGATGTGCTTCGTTCTGTGCTCCAGTCTGTGCTCCTCACACAAGGCAATGGCAGCCTTGTTGTCGACGTACAGTACTGGAGGAGAACGAGGCCGCTCTCCGAGGTCGGTCAGCAGGTAGGTCAGCCAGCGTAGCTCCTGGGCAGCCATGGCTGTAGCGTAGATCTCAGCCTCGCAACTGGAGCCGAGAACAGAAGAAGAGCGTGTAGAGCGCCAAGAAACTGAGCCAGAGCCAAGGCTGAAGGTGTAACCCTGAGACGACCGCTGAGTGGCCTGGTCGTCTGCCCAAGAAGCGTCTGAGTGCCCTGTGAGAACAACTCGGTCTCGCCCTCCAAGCACAAGCCCCATGCCCGACGTACTGCACAAGTAGCGCAACACCCTCTTAGCGGCATCCATGTGCTCCTTCCTGTGACGGCCAGGAGCGACATAGCGTGCAAGGATGCTAAGAGGGTATGCAAGGTCAGGTCGAGTGCAGGTCATCAGGTACATGAGACAGCCCACAAGCTCTGGATACGGGCCATTCGGCTCTACGGACTCATCCGAAGGCAGAGCTGAGAGCGAGTGACCGGTAGGCAGAGGAGTGGACTGAGGCGAGGAGTACGTGAAGCGGAAGCGCTGGAGAACCTGCTGCACCATGTGTGACTGAGTCAGGGTGATGGTGCACCGTGCTCTGTCCCGGGTGATCCGCAAGCCAAGATAGCTTGTCAGCTCACCCAGGTCTGTGCACGTGTGTCTCCTCTGCAGCTCCGACTTCACGTAGGCGAGTCCTGCAGTGTCAGCAGTGGCAAAGACCAAGTCGTCGACGTACACGAGGATGTAGAACGGCGGCAGCAAAGTGTCGGTGCGCAGGAACAGCGACGGGTCAGCTGTAGAAGGCGCGAACCCAAGAGCCGCAAGTGTAGTCCTCAGTGTGTCGTGCCACTCACGCGGAGCCTGGCGGAGACCGTAGACCGGCCGCTGAAGCCTCCACTGGGTACCAGGGGGAAACGACCCAGTGAAGCCAGGTGGGCGGCGCAGCCAGATCTCCTCGTGCAGGCTGCCCTGCAAGAAAGCAGTGCTGAAGTCAAGTGAGTGAAGCTCGTAGTCGCGGTGAGCGGCTATGTGCAGCAGCACCCGAAGAGTAGTCATCTTCGGGGTGGGGGAGAAGGTCTGGAAGAAGTCAACTCCCTCTCGCTGACTGAAGCCTCGAGCCACGTAACGCGCCTTGAAGACAGGCGGAGAACCCGGCGGCCGCTTCACCCTGAAAATCCACATGCCACTGACGATGTTCGCCCCAGGAGGGGGAACCTCGTCTACGTAGGTGCGTGTGGACTTCCAGGAAGCCATCTCGGCGTCCATGGCTGTCTGCCACTGAGAGGAGTAGGGACCCGCCATCGCCTCAGCGTAAGTGCGCGGGGTCGGGATGTCTGGTGCATCCGGGTCTCCCTCAGGGGCAACTAGCAAGGACACGAGACGGGGCAAAGCAGCAGCAAGACACTGGAACTCCTCCTGTCTGTCCTCAAGGACGTCCATGCCAAGAGCACACTCACCCCCGACGGACGGAGGACAGACAGACTCAGACTCAGACTCAGCAACAAGGCTAGCAGCGTAGTCTAGACGACAGGCAGCAGCAAAGTCAACCAACTCAGCGACCAGAGCAGACGCAGCCGAGGACTCAAAGGTAGGGTCAGTGACAACAGTAGCGAGGAGACGCGTGACAGTAGGGTGCTCAGCACGATACCGGTCAGACGCAGGGTCCGGAACGTCAGGCAAAGAGGACGCAGGAGGAGACGATAGAGGGACACGCTGAGGAGCAGTAGAGGGACGCAGAGTCATGTAGTGAGTGCCTGGGACAGGAGGAGGACGCTCACGACGGACACGACTACCAGTGCGAGCAGGACGAACAGGCGACGCAGGACGAGACTCAGGCTCACGACGCTCTGTAAGACCTCCTGTGGGACCAGTGTAAGGAGAGGGAGCAGGGAGAGGCGAGGTAGGCGGTAACTGTGACTGCGGCTGGACAGGCGGAGGACACTCTACGGAGGGAGGAGGACAAGGAGGAGGAGCCTGCCCAAGAACCTGCTGAAGGAGCGGTACGAAGTACGGTCGCGGCCGCGCAGCGTCTCCAGAAGCAGAGGAGACTCCAGCGGCCGGGTCCTCAGTACCAGTAGGAGCTCCAGCGTCCGGGTCCACAGCACCAGCAGCAGCTCCACCGGCCGGGTCCTCAGCACCAGTAGAAGCTCCAACGTCCGGGTCCTCAGCAGCAGCAGCAGCGCCACCGCTCGGGTCCTCAGCTCCAGCAGCAGCTCCACCGTCCGAGTCCTCAGCACCAGCAGCAGCTCCACCGTCCGGGTCCTCAGCACCAGCAGCAGCGCCACCGCCCGGGTCCTCAGCTCCAGCAGCAGCTCCAACGTCCGAGTCCTCAGCACCAGCAGCAGCTCCACCAGGCGGGTCCGCAGCACCAGCAGCAGCTCCAACGTCCGGGTCCTCAGCACCAGCAGCAGCGCCACCCCCAGGGTCCGCAGCACCAGGAGCACCACTCCGAAGACTGCAGCGCCGTGTGTACCACTCGCGGATCTGCTGAATGGGGGGGAGCTCCTGGGTAGGAGGGGAAGTACCGGGACGAGCTCCAGCAGCACCTCTCCGGAGGCGGCAGTACTCGAGGTACCTCTCCTGCAGCTGCTGGGAGGAGAGGGCTCCTCCAGGTGTAGCACGCTCAGGCTCAGCACCCCCAGACTCAGCACCCCCAGACTCAGCACCCCCAGGCTCAGCACCTCCAGGCTCCGCACCTCCAGACTCAGCACCTCCTGGCTCAGCACCCCCAGGCTCTGCACCCCCAGACTCAGCACTCCCAGGCTCAGCACCCCCAGACGCAGTACCCCCAGGCTCAGCACCCCTAGACGCAGCACCCCCAGGCTCAGCACCCCTAGCAGGACGAGAGTCAACAGCTACCTCGACAGGCTCACCCGGGTCTACCTGGGACACACCTGAGGGAGCGGCACCCTGAGGGGGGAGGGGGTCTGGTACCTCAGCACCTGGAGCGAGGAAGAGAGGCGGGGGGGGGAGCGGGGCAGTGCGGTAGGGGAAGAGGCGGTAGTAGGGGACGGACTCGTCAAAAGTGACGTCCTGAGAGGCCAGGACACGACGCGAGGTGGGGTGGTAGAACTGCCAGCCAGGGGCGTCCGGGACAAAGCCAAGGAAGACGCAGGGGACAGCGAGACGAGAGAGATTGTCCGCGGACGTGTCGCGGACAAAAGCTCGGGATCCCCAGACCCGAAAACGCGACGCATCGCCAGCCTCTCCCGTCCAACGCAGTGTCGGAGAAGTCTCGGGCAGGGAGACACGGGGCCAGAGGTTGAGCTGATGCGCAGCGTATCGGACTGCAAACGGCCACAGAAAATGGGGGGCAGCCGCATGGCTCAAGGAGGTACGAGCGACCTCCATGACCAGACCAATGCGGCGCTCAGCAACCCCATTCTGCTGTGGAGAGGCCGGAAGCGTGTACGACTGCTCAATGCCCTCCTGCTGACAGAAGGCCTCCAATAGGCCAGAGGAAAACTCCCCACCTCTGTCAGAGTGCAGACGCAGGACAGGGAAGTCGGAGCGGAAACGCTCACTGAGCTGGAGACGAGATCTGCGGATCCAAGGGATCAAGACATCAGGGACGTCACCCTTGGCGCGCAAGGGGAAGACCGTGGTGTAGCGCGAGAAGTCGTCAACAACAATCAGGAAGTACCTCTCCTGACCCTGACCACGGACGCGGGCTGGGCCCCACACGTCCATGTGGAGTGTCTGCAAAGGAGCAGTCGTCGGGGGAAAGGAGGAGGAGTGAGGAGCGGCGCGCTGCTGCCCCTCGACACAGGGAAGACAGGGAGGAGCAGGTGAGTCGGGAAGGGGAGGGAGCACCCTGGGAAGACCAGCAACAAGGTCCCGTTTGTGCATGGCCCGAAGGCGCTGCACAGACGGGTGACCAAGGCGGTGGTGCCAAAGGACAGTCTCATGCGCCAGAGAGCGACACGAGCAGGGGGCGGACAGCTGACCTGACGCAGACGCAGACGTAGACGCAGACGCAGCTACCTGAGGGGACTCAGTGGTCAGTGTGTAAAGGTCCGACCCCGGCTCTCGAGTGAAAGTAGCCAGGTGGCGACCCGTCCGAGCACACGTGCAGTGTGTCACGCGCTCGTAGGCAGGGGTGAACTGGTGAACACCCGAGTCCTGGAGCGCACAACCCGCCACCAAGTTCGTAGAGAACGAGGGGAGGTAGAGACCTGACAGCGTGCCGGACGGGACCGCAGGACAAGGAAGGACAGTGGAGGAGGTCGCAATGACCGGACCCCCAGAGGGGTCAGCAAGGGAGACAGCAACTGGCCGAGCGAGTGGCTCAAGGACAGTGCGGTCACGAAAGAAAGAGCGAGAAGCACCTGAGTCCAGGGTGAAGGTGTGCAGTGCTGCAGTCGACTCAGTACCAGGGGGCACAGACGCACTAGCACCTAGGGCAGCAGCCTCACCATCACCTGGGGTAGCAGACACGCGAGCACCTGGAGCAGCAGACGCACTAGCACCTAGAGCAGTAGGCTCACCAGCACCTGGAGTAGCAGACACGCGAGTACCGGGAGTGGTAGCCTCACCTGCACCGAGGGCAACAGACGTACTGGCACCGAGAGCGGCTGCCTCACTCACAGAGCGACTACCACTACGGCCACCCCGACTGCTCAAACCGGCGTACCACTCACGAGCCTGCTGGAGCAGAAGAGGGCACGGCTGCTGCACCTGTCCACTACCTGAGGCTCCCGAACGACGGACGCCAGAGCGACTACCACTACGGCCACCCCGACTGCTCAAACCGGCGTACCACTCACGAGCCTGCTGGACCAGAAGAGGGCACGGCTGCTGCACCTGTCCACTACCAGGGGCTCCCGAACGACGCACGCCAGAGCGACTACCACGCCGGCCACCCCGACTGCCCAAACCGGCGTACCACTCACGAGCCTGCTGGAGCAGAAGAGGGCACGTCTGCTGCACCGGTCTACTACCAGAGGCTCCCGAACGACGCACTCCAGAGCGACTACCACTACGGCCACCCCGACTGCCCAAGCCGGCGTACCACTCACGAGCCTGCTGGAGCTGCATCTGGCCACGTCAGGAGCAGCAGTAGTAGCGGCAGCAACAGCAGGAGCAGTAAAGGCAGTAGCAGCAGCAGTAACGGTAGCAGTGCTAGCACGGCAAAGCTCACCAGTGGTTGGTGCGGCGGGCGCAAGACAGTGGCGACAGCGTGGCCGCTGCAACAGCGGGGCGGGGCCAGGTCGTAGCAGGGAGCTCCGCGGCAGCTGCTGCAGGGTCGGCGGCGGCCGCTGCTGTAGGCTCGGCGGCGGCAGCTGCTGCAGGTCGAGCGGCGGCTGCTGCTGCAGGGTCGGCGGCGGCCGCTGCTGTAGGCTCGGCGGCGGCTGCTGCTGCAGGGTCGGTGGCGGCTGCAGCTGCAGGCGCGGCGGCGGCAGCTGCTGCAGGTCGAGCGGCGGCTGCTGCTGCAAGCTCGGCGGCGGCAGCTGCTGCAGGTCGAGCGGCGGCTGCTGCTGCAGGCTCGGCGGCGGCAGCTGCTGCAGGTCGGCGGCGGCTGCTGCTGCAGGTTCGGTAGCGGCAGCTGCTGCAGACGAAGTCGAAGCCGCGAAGGGGCGGCTGAGGGATTGCGACGGGCGGCTAAGGGGCCGCGATGCGTGGGTAAGGAGCCGCGACGGCGGCTGAAAGGGCCGCCACGAGCGGGTAGGGAGGTGACGACGCCACGGGAAAGGCGACGCGGCGGGCGGCGAGAGCCTGCAGCGGCGGGCAGCTCGCGGGCAGTGCGCGGAGCCGCACAAGGCTGCGACGGGTCGCGTGACAAACCCTAAGCCGCGCGCGGGCGGCTAGCTGGTCGCGCGCACGAAGAATCGGCCGCGCGCGGGCGGCTAGCGAGGCGCGCGCGCGAAAAATCGGCCGCGCACGGGCGGCTAGCGAGTCGCGCGCGTTAAAAACGAGCCGCGCGCGGGTGGCTAGCGGGCTGCGTGCGCGCGGTAGGTAGAGGCGCACGAGGGCGCGCGGTAGGTAGAGGCGCACGAGGGCGCTAAGGCGCACGAGGGCGTGCGGTAGGTAGAGGCGCACAAGGGCGCTAAGGCGCACGAGGGCGCTCGGTAGTGAGAGGCGCACGAGGGCGCACGAGGGCGCACGAGGGCGCACGATAGGTAGGTAGGTAGGTAGGTAGGTAGCGGTGGGCCCTAGGAGCGGTCCTAGCAAAGGACCTGCTCTGATACCATGTCAGAATGAACAGGCAGGAATGATGGACTAGCAAGGATTGTGAGTACAAATATAAAACCCTAATGTTGTGACCCCCCTATAGGCTAACCCACTACAGCCTACACAAATACAACATGTATAATGTTTGACAGACAAACATCACATTCTGACACACCCCCATAGTCAAAGTGGGGTATAATCAGTACAGCAAGCAGAGAGAGCAGTAGGTTTACAAATACAAGCAAAGCTAGAGGCTATCACAGAGAGCAAGTGAGGAGGAGGAGAAACTGCGGGGGTGAGAAGATGGGAGGCGACGGCTGAAGCTGCAGACACACGGGCAACAGGAGTGCGCAGCACTGTCGCTACCAGGCTAAACCCGGACTACACGGCGACAGACGCAGCTGGCTCGCTGTGCTCCCAGGAGTGCTCACACTGTGGCTACCGGGCGCAGAGCCCCGGACTACACGGCCACAGGGGGTCGTGGCTCTCTGGACTACCAGGAGTGCTCACACTGTGGCTACCGGGCGCAGAGCCCCGGACTACACGGCGACAGGGGGTCGCAGCTGGCTCTCTGGACTTGAGGCGCTGCGGACGACAAGACGACTGCCTCCACTCAACTTCCCCCAGCTGTCCCACACCCCTTTCACACACCCCCTGTTGAACCTCTAGCACCGCTCACATGCCACCCCCCTAGTACCACTCCGACGGCTCCCACACATCCACCCCCCTCAGCGGCAGCTGCAGCAGTGGGAGACGGAGGAGGAGGAGGAGCAGGGGACGGCGCACACACCCGTCACCCCCATACTCGCCACCCCCACACTCGCCACCCCCAAACCCTAAAACAGGCAGCAGCGGGGGGGCGGTGTGCGGGCAGCAGCTCGGGGGAGGGCGGCTCCCCAGGGCGCCTCGACGGGGCAGCGGGGGGCCGCGCGCGGCTCCCCAGGGCGCCGCGACGGGGCAGCGGGGGGCCGCGCGCGGCTCCCCAGGGCGTCGCGACGGGGCAGCGGGGGGCGACGCGCGGCTCCCGAGGGCGTCGCGACGGGGCAGCGGGGTCACGCGCAACTCCCCAAAGCATCGCGACGGGGTAGCGGGGGCGACGCGTGGGGCAGCGGGGCGACGCAACGGGCTCCCAGGGGGGCGACGCGACCGCCGACGGGGGGAGGAGGGGGGGGAGGGGGGAGAGGGGGGGGGCGACGCGCGGGTCGACGGGGCAGAAAAACCGCCGCGCGCTCGGGGCGCGCGGCGGGAAGAAAAAAGCACCGCGCGCCCTGAGCGCACGACAGGCAGCAGACATCGCGCGCCCAGGGCGTGCGATAGGCAGAACAGCAGCGGAAGCATCGGGCGGGACCACCCACAGGATCGACCCAGGAGGGTCGACCTGCTCTGTTACCATATCAAAACAGTAGGCTATAACGAGAAACAGAAAAAGGGGGTTTTCACTAGCAGGCAGTTGAGTACATATAGCAAACCCTGCTCACTCACACTCCCTGCTCACTTACCCACCCTGCAGTGCTTGGGAAAGCAGTGCTGGTGAGTGCAGTGCTGGTGAGTGCAGTGCTGGTGAGTGCAATGCTGGTAAGTGCAATGCTGGTGAGTGCTGTCCTGTTCTTCTCCCCCGCCGTTCTTCTCTTCATCCGTTCGTCCCTCTATTCCACACTTCCTCTTTTCATCCCTTCTATTCCTCTTCAACTGTAAGCATAAATGGAGGGACCTTGCGTTATCATTTCCCGAGTTGGTTGCTTGTTCTTCGTCATTATCTTGTATGCTTCCCTGCTGCTCAGCCATCTCACATCTTATTTCCTGGTTTGTGTTTGTATACAGGTTTTCTATGCATCTGGTTGTGGTGATGTGTTGTGGTGATAGTACTTCGATGATTGACCATGCCATATATTGAGGTTGGATGCTTTGTTATAATACAAACAATGTGCTTAGAAGCAGCGGTGCACATGACCACTACAAAGGAAGTACTTGACTCAAAGAAGATAGTTAGGAAATGTAATGTTTTTTGGGGCACTCTTGGCTGCTACCCTGCATGCAATAAACCCTGGGCCATGGTGCTGGGACCTGTACCCTGCGCGGCTAGAAATGGGGGGTGAGTGAAATGGGGAACAGACTGAGCAACGGAACATATAGTGAACAGGAAGAAACAAAGTGAGCCGGGGGGAAGAGAATGAGCAGGGGAAACAGAGTGAGTCGGGGGGAAGAGAATGAGCAGGGGAAACAAAGTGAGCCGGGGGGGAAGAGAATGAGCAGGGGAAACGGAGTGATCCGAGGGGGAAGAGAATGAGCAGGGGAAACAGAGTATGCCGGGGGGGAAGAGAATGAGCAGGGGAAACGAAATGAGCCGAGGGGGAAGAGAATGAGCAGGGGAACAGAGTGAGCCGGGGGGGAAGAGAATGAGCAGGGGAACCGAGTGAGCTGGGGGGGAAGAGGGAAGAGGGAGGAGGGAGGAGCGATTAAGGCACCAGAGAGAACGAGATGAGTGAGGGGGAAGGAGGAGGAGGAGGAGTGAGAAGAGGAATGAGAGGAGGCGAAGGGAGAGGATGAGGAGGAGGGGAGAGGGAAGCCAATGGAAAGGAGGGGGCAGTGGGAGAGGTGGAGGGCGGTGAGGGAGGGGTGGGCCGGGAGGTGGGAGAGGGCAGTCCAGGCGAGGTTGGCGGAGAGCAGGCGGGGGGAGGCGAGGAGCAGCGAGGCAGAGGCGCTGGTGATGTTGCTTCCCCACACTGACAGATGGCGCAAGTGAACCAGCGACTGCAGGGGAAGAGCGGGTGCGGGTTTGGGGGGGAGAGAGGGAAAGGAGGAAGTGGTGATGCTGCTGCCCCACGCAGACAGATGGCGCAAGTGGATTAGCGATTGGCGGGGAACGCGAGGGCGACGGGAGGGGGAAGCGAGGGCGATGGGAGGGGGAAGCGAGGGCGAAGGGAGGAGGAAGCGAGGGCGATGGGAGGGGGAAGCGAGGGCGATGGGAGGGGGAAGTGAGGGCGACGGGAGGGGGAAGCGAGGGCGACGGGAGGGGGAAGCGAGGACGACGGGAGGGGGAAGCGAGGGCGACGGGAGGGGGAAGCGAGGGCGATAGGAGAGGGAAGCGAGGGCGATGGGAGGGGGAAGCAAGGGCGATGGGAGGGGGAAGCGAGGTCGACGGGAGGGGGAAGCGAGGGCGATGGGAGGGGAAAGCGAGGGCAGCGGAAGGGGGAAGCGAGGGCGACGGGAGGGGGAAGCGAGGGCGATGGGAGGGGAAAGCGAGGGCGACGGGAGGGGGAAGCGAGGGCGATGGGAGGGGGAAGCGAGGGCGATGGGAGGGGGAAGCGAGGACGACGGGAGGGGGAAGCGAGGGCGATGTGAGGGGAAAGCGAGTGCGACGGGAGGAGGTCGCGCGGAGAGGCGAGAGGATGTAGGAAGGGGATATCGGGCGGCAGGAAGGGGATATCGGGCTGCGGGAAGGGGAGATCGGGCGGCGTGCATGGGAGATTGGGTGGCGAACAGGGGAGATGGGTGGCGGGAAGCGGCGGTAGGGTGGCGGGAATGTAACGGCTATAACTTAATCACGGGCATACTGCTGCTCCTTACAGTTACAGGTTTTACTTTCTCTTTTCACGCCTTTGGACAGAAGATTGCTTACGCCCCATTGCCATCGGCGAGATACTGCCACGCCTGCTGTCTCGTTGCGTTACTCTTCACTTCAAGCAGCAGATTAGGGATTTCTTCCTTCCCTCCCTGCAGTTTGGGGTCGCTGTTTCAGCGGGGATCGAGGTTATGGCCCACGCAGTCCAGTCGGCCCTCTCTCTCCACCCAGACTGGGTCGTGCTAGAACTCGATGTGGCCAATGCTTTCAACTCATTCAGACGTTCTGCTATGTTCAACGCTCTGCGAGATTCCCCGTTCTCCAGCCTCATCCCTTTCTTCCGCCTCTTCTACGCCTCCCCCTCTCCACTCCATTACCGCAGCGGCCCACTCATTGAAACGCTTCAGTCATCATCAGGTGTTTGACAGGGTGACCCATGTGGGCCATTCTTGTTCGCCCTTACCCAGCATCTAGCCATCCGCCCCATTCAGCAGCAATCTCCAGCAATCTTCATCACCTCCTACGCGGATGACACGTACATGGTTGGCCCTGCGCAGGAGGTGTTTCCTGCCTACACAGCACTTACAGCTCATCTCAATAGCCTCGGCCTGAGGGTGCAACCATCGAAATGCTCCCTTTGGGCCCCTTTGGACCTTCCTTTAGACCTCACGCCTCCACCAGACATCGCCATTGCCCCTAACGGTATCACGGTTGCGGGAGTTCCGATCGGTTCAGACACCCACATCATCTCTACAGTACGGGACAAGCTACACTCTTTCTCCTCATCACTCCCTCTTCTACATGACCTTCATGATCCTCAGACTGCCTCTCGCATCCTTTCTCTTTGCGACTCCGCTCGCCCCTTATTCCTCCTCCGCACAGTTGCACCTTTCCCTCTATACTGACTGGGACAACAACTTGCTTGACCATTTTGTTCGCCTCATCGGCTCTGACTACTGGCCCCCTATATTTGTCCACACTGCCACAGCACATCGACAGACATTCCTTCCCATTCACCTTGGCCTTCGATCATCAGCTGCAACTGCTACTCTTAGTTTCCTGTGCAGTTGGGCACAGACAGCTTCACTACTCTCTTCATGCTTCACCATCCACGGCTCACACATTTTCCGCCCCTTTATCACTTCAGACACCATGGATCGCCTTGACACATGCATTCCTAAAGCCTTATCCAAACTTCATCCATCCATTAGGCAGCACTTCCCCACCTGGCCTGCACTCCACGCTGGCTACCCACACAAGCTATATTCCTACCTTTCTCAACACCTGGACGCTGTTATGCTCGAGCGCGTGCGATCCACAGTAACCTCCCCCCAACATTTGGCCCGTTTAACCTCCCTCCAAGGGCCCCATGTTGGTGACTGGCTAACTGTGGCTTCATGTTCTCCACGCATGCAGCTTTCATCCACAGAGTGGTAAATTGCAGCTGCTATCCGTCTCGGTCTCCCCATTCCACACCTCTCATCCACACGGACATGCACTTGTGGCTCGTCATTCACGGACCCTTCAATCGTCTCCCATGTCCTCCGCTGTCCATCTGCTAACGAGCCTACCAGGGTTCACGACGCTATCAAGCATGAGGTTCACCGCATCACGCCGGAGCTTGATTATGTTGTGCAGCTGGAGGATTCCCACCTTCTTGCCGGACCCCGCCCCGACATCAGTTGCCGTGACATCAGCTCGGGGACAACATGGGCGTTAGATATTTCGATCACAGATCCCCAGCATGCCCCCCCCAACTCCAAAACTGCATCCGTCATCGGTTCAGCCGCATCTGCTCACGAAACTGAGAAGCGGACCCTAACGTTACATCAGAGACCAGACGTAAAACTCCTTCCTCTTGTCCTTGAAACTTTCGGTTGCTTCGGTACGTCATTCCTCAGCTTCATCAAGGACTGCAGCCGACGAGGGGCGACACGGCATCGGGACATGGGTGGCACATCTGACCTTATTCCAGAGCTTTTTGAGACGAGCTACTTCAAGAGGATTTCTCTGGTGCACCAGCGCGAGCAGGCCAGGACCATTTTCCGTCGGTCACAAATCCGCTACAGCACTGACACACCTTCCACGCCTCCGGAACCCACCCCACCTTCCTTGGCTGATTTTGCGTACCTTGGTGTCGGTTCTTGAGACCTCATTGGGGTCTCAACCTAGGGTAGTATGTATTGCTGGTTAGTCACCTTTTGGTGATTGACTTGTTTTGTATCCCATGTACAAATGTAACACTGTAAATAAAGTGGTATAACCCTGTCGACGTGTAAGGAGGTAAAACGGGAGTGCGTGTGAAGGTATTTTTCCCTGCCACTTTTCTCCCTTGCACAATCAGTGTTTCCGTTGTCAGGATTGGTCGCAAAAAGTACAGTACACTCACGCCAAACCTGCCCTACAAGGTGCGGACATACTCCAAACCTGCCCTTGAGGTGTGGTTCAAGCCTTAACACTTTGCACCTTTGCCCATATATTTCTCCCGCTCGCTAAAAGGTTCGTCACTCGTAAACCAATCACGTATCCTCTTGCCCATCATCCACTCAACACAATTCTCTCGACATCTTATCCTAGGCTACTATAAAGCTGGCAGCCCAAATTGTACATGCTTTTAAAAGATGACCAGAGGGAGTTTTTCTGGCGTGGGCTTTGGCGAGAGTTTCCAATTTCGTCTAGGTTCGTTTTTTTTTTTTTTTTTCGTGAGACTCAGCCAACCCTCGTTTTTCCCCCTGGTGAGTGGGTCTGTTTTCGAACGTCCCAAATTGCAGGTGCATGACTTTCAAAAGCTTGGACACTCCACTTCGTCAAGTTTTAAAGCTCAAGGCCCAAATTGTTCAACCTTACTAAGGTTGCCCTTTGGGTGGCGGGAGTGGAGGGTTGACTTTTTTTAAGTTGGCTGGTCAGTTTCGCCCAGCTTCACGCTACACCCTCAAAGTTTTCGCTTACTCAGCAAAACCCAGGGAGCAACTCGGTTTGGTTCTCGAGTCCCAAATTGCACTCACAATATTCTTGGTGTTTCCTTCTCTCCTATTCGACCAAAATCTGTTGGCCAATCAAATTTCATCGCACCTCTCGTAACCACAATTCGCAACCAACCTGGACTCAAAACACAACTCTCATCAACTTTAGTAATATTGCCTCGCGCCCTCTGCAATTTGGGCCTTGAGCTTTAAAAACCTGACTCTCGCGCTCCGCAATTTGGGACGCGGGCTTTAAAATAGTATTAGAGTAGGTTATATGTTTCCCCTCCCACGCTTCCGCTCCCTCCCTTAGTTGCGCCCGAGGCGCCCGTCCCTTAGGCTCCGTTTCGTCGCGGGTAGGATGGCCGTCGTGGGCCTCGATTTCGTCGCGTTTAATGGCCCCCACGGGCCTCGATTTTGTTGCTTTTAAAGGCCCCCACGGGCTCGTTTAGTCGCGTGCAAGGGGTCAGGCGGGCCCTTGTTTCGTCGTGCCCCTGCAGAGAAGCCCGCGCCACCTTGCAGAGCACAGCGCGCCCCTGCAGAGCAGCCCGCCCCACCCTGCAGAGCTGCGCGCACCCCTGCAGAGCAGCGCGCGCCCCTGCATTGCAGCACGCCCCACCCTGCAGAGCAGCGCGCGCTCCTGCATAGCAACGCGCACCCCTGCAGAGCAGCCCGCGCCACCCTGCAGAGCTGCGTGCGCCCTTGCAGAGCTGCGCGCCCCTATAGAGCAGCCTGCGCCACCCTGCAAAGCTGTGCGCGCCCTTGCAGAGCAGCCCGTGCCACTCTGCAGAGCAGCGCGGGCTCCTGCCATCGCACGAAGAATGAAGGTTACTGGCAAGCTGTGGGTAGTCATGCAGCTATCGAGAGGGAAAAGGGCCTCATTCAATGTGCCAGCAATGCCGGTTGTCGATTGGTGACAACCAATATCGGCATGTTGTTTAGGATTGGTTTGGCGGGTACAGCTTTCCAGCAAATCTTTCACTATTTGCCGAGTGTTCAAATTTGGTTGGACAAGGGACATCCTGTTCGTGCATCAGGTGTAACTTTTTCGCTTTGTACTTCGAGTTCCATAGTTGGTGATTGCAACTCCGCGGAGGCCGTGGGGACATCGAGATGTGGGCAGGCATGACCTGTGATTGGTGCAATCTGCAAAAATTTCTCGCTTTGAACTTTGGTAACTGCTTGCACTGTTCCATATTTCGTTTCTGCATGTTCAACAACAATTACTAGTTTGTAACCGTAATTGCAGTTTTTGTTTATATGTTGCAAAACAGTCCCTGACAAATGATTTTTTTTTTTGGTTCCAGCTAATTATTAATTCAAATTCTAAATATCATTTCGGAACATGGTTAAATGCCAATACAGTTAGAACTAAAAGCTCACACATTTAACTACTAGTGCTATTGCTACCAATATTATTGCTACTAATAAATTGCTATTGCTACTAATGCTACAATATTAATGATACTAGTAATGCTGCAATCAGGTACTGCTTAAGCTACTATTGCTAACAATGCTGCAATCTACTTACTACCACAGTGCAATTATATACTAAAACTAATTACGCCGGTTCTTAACAATAACAAAACCGAAGTCATAAAAATTCTCCTTGAGTGGAATTTCAACATACTCGATCCATTTTTCGATCTGCGTCTTCCTCTTCTCCATCTCCTCTTGTTAGAGGTGGCGTCAGAGGACAAGCTTGGCTTGCCCGTAAGCATCCCATACTCAATCTGGATAACAGGAGAAAAAACCATCAAGGGAAACAATAATATCAGAACGCATAGAGAAACAAATATGCATGTATATCTCTGAATCTACTTACAGCAACCAGCATGCAGCACAGCTGGTCAATAGTGAGAGCGTCAACATCTTGTTCTTCCTTGTACCAAGAAGCAGCAGCTGCATTGAAGAGTTCACTGTTGAACGGGAGCATATCAAAAACATGCCAAGGAAGACCATATATATCTGCCAAGAAAAAAACAATAGGAGTTAGTGAGTACAGAATGAGAAAATTAAACCAACAACAAATAAGCAACATGGTACCTGACACATGTGCCTTGGCATAATCTTGCCTAACTGCCATGGTGTCACCAACCAGCTCGCCGTTCTCATTCTTCACACGAGGCAACACGATGCCACGGAAGCTGCTGCTGTACTTCCCCCGACGGTTGTTGCACAAGTCGTTGCACTTCTTGAACGAACCTCCTTCAATCCATTCCGTGTTGAATCGCGCGAACTCGTGCTCTTGGACGCCCTAGACGATCATCTGATGTTTTTTGAAGTCCGCTTCGATAGGATAAACCCTACGCTTCTCTAGGTCCTGTCCGTTGAGAAGAAGATCCACCACTGAGCTCAGGGCCTCCTGTAAATGGGTGTGGGCAACATCAGCAATAGAAGTTCAAAGATATGAAATAGAAAATGTACAGTGCAAGTGTCTTCGATTAGATCTCCAATAAACATCCAGATGAAGTAAAAACAAAAAGTTGAAAACAACACGTACCGAAATCTTTGTGTCATCGCACCAACTAGGCTTGATAAGAGCCTTCGCGAGGTGGTTCACAGTCTCGATCAGAACCCGTTGACTCTCATTTGATGCACGGAGACGTTTATCCAGCTTTCCAATCAAATCGCGAATGTCGCGGAGTGCTAGCCTCGTTTTCGCGTCCAAGCCGTTGAAGTTGTTCGCTTCGCGGTGATAGGCATTACGCTCAGAAAGTTAAATAGAACTGAAGAGATTAAGAATGGGCTGCCAACCGGTAAACCAAAGTGAGACGCACAGAGCCAGGATACCGGAATGAAACAACGATTTACTCCTAGATCATTTCCAACATAGCATACACTTACGAGATGGCACTGGGGAATGATCATCAGGAGTGCTTGCTCGAACCACAGGAGAATGGGTGGCAGTCACCCGTCCGCCAGAAGCACCAATAGCATCATCGCCCTGAACTGGAGCAGGAGCCGCCTCCTCCATTTCTTCTGAAACCACGGGCGAGACTTGCTGCTGACGAGGAAGAGTAGGGACATGACTGTTGTGGCGACGAGAATCAGCCACAGGAGACACATTTGAGCCATACATTTGGTATCCTTCGAACCTAGCTGGGGGACCAGCATTGCGGCGCTTTCTGTCACGGTGTTCTGCTTGAATTGACTCTGGAAGGTCGGCCATGAGAAAACAGATTGGTGATACATTTGGGAGTTTGAGTGGTACATATTTATTCTACTTACCATGTTGAGTCACATGGCGGGGGTAGCTACATTAGTGGAGCTTGCTTGACAGTCGCACGGTTCCGTTTACCCAGGGGTAAAAACAACGGGGTACAGAGGGATTTGCAGGAGTGCAGCACGGCTGGAAGGATATGGCTGCACTTCTTCTGCACTTCAACTTAATCGCACCCGCTCGTGCCACATCAGCACGCACCTTGACCATGATTGGCACCCTCCCCAGGCTTAGCTGCTGCCGCTGCATGGGGCCCTTGGCCACGTCAGCAAGCGCCACGTCATCATCCTCGTCAAAGTAGGAGACGCAGAGGTCGATGCGGAAGTCGCCCCGGTAGGTGGTGCCCGCCTAGCGACACTGGTAATGCAGTAGGAGAGAACGGGGAGAAAGGATGAGAGTGAGGGTGTGTTTCAAAAAGAGTGTCATAAGGGAAGGGAGGAAGGGGAGAAAGGGGGAAAACAGCCGTCCATGTGGAAGTCCCCGGTAGGTGGTGGTGCCCGCCTGGCGGCACTGGTGTGGGAGCATGGCAGGGGGGCGATGCGATGGGGAAGGGGGTTGAGAGGGTGTTTTCAAACAAGTGCGGGAGCATCACTTACGTGATTGTGCCTGAGCAGGTTGGCTTTGGTGACAAAGCTTACTCAGCTGAGGGCGTGTCATACTTTCAGTTCATTTACAGCGGTTGACTTCAAGTTTGTGCTTTCTAGAGCGGTACGTTATTCCAACCACTTTGAACCGCCACATACCAACCTGAACAGTGACACATGTGCTGTAAACCCACAATGCATACCACGCCCTGAAAACCCCAGCGCCAAACCTGAGCTGACAAGGACAAGAAGGCCACACGATGGGGGAGAATGAGTTTACGTGAGCTTGAGCTGACAACGACAGGAAGGGGCAACCTCTTTTGAAGGTTTTCTCTCCTGCCAAATATTTTTTTTTCCTCACTCGTTACTGTTTACTTTTAAGTCTGACTCCCGATTGAGATTCAGTTGGCAAGGGGCAAGCAACAATCTCGAAGGGGAACCCTATAGTGTGAACTTTAAAGCCCCGTCTCAAACCCTCCAATTCGCATTGCACAAGCAAATTTTGGTTTTTCCAAGTGTGCATCAATCGAGCGAAACGGTACTGTGCATGAGCACCAACAAACTGCTGTTGCGACGCAGCGCCCGAGAGTCGCAAATGGACCTAGCTCAAGTTCAAACGGGTGGGGCGATTGGAAAAAAAACACGACTGCGACAACATTTCGCTACAGTAGTACGTCAGCCACCCGCACAAAGTGTAACAAACACACCTCCAAACCTGTTTCGCCACCAAACATTACAAAAACAAGGGCGGGGCGGGCGGGGGAAGAGGGGGGAGGGATACACGCACCGCTAGACTAGCTGTAAATGCGCGATGCCAAAGCCCACCCCGCATCAGAGGCTGAATCTGCCCCCCGACTCACCACGCATCAGACAAACAAGTAAACGCGTGACGCCAAAGCCCACCCTGAGCCTGAATCTGCCCCACACCTCACCACCTGCCTGTCACGGTCCGCGATTCCGGCTGTTGATGCTGATGCGCTGGACAGAAATCACGCTAAGACTGACCAATCATAATAGCTCGCGCGCTCATGCTTATTGAATGAATGGTCTAGAGGCAAATGCCAACCAATCAGTATTAGGGTGCTATGCTGAACAATAAACCGCCAACATAGCAAGGAAGTGACTGAAAATCGAGTAGTGGAACACCCTGAAATTAGAGTTGTAACATACAACAATTATGCACGATAAGATTTGCCAGATATAGGTTCTAGTTATCATATGAGCACTTTTTTATATTTACCTAACTGCTTTCCTTAGACGATGTTGACAGTAGAGTAATAATTTATTTTCAAATAAAAGAATGTTAGATATTGGAAGACCATCAGCATATTCTGTTTTGCCGTATTGTGATGAACAATGTTCAAATATTGGGCGGACATGTGAGAATGCATGCATTGCCAAAGTCAGCCCATGGGGGAAATTTCAATTTATCTCGCTTGAATAATTAGACAGATTTTGAAGAAGTAATCTACTTAATCATAAAACTAACATTGGAATTCAGTCTGTATTCTTACGTTTGTTCGACACACATTTCCGGTACCTTTCCTGTTTTTCATCTATTATATGTTGACGAGAATTGGCCCCGCCCTCACTCGGGCGAAGCAGAATTCGCTGTCGGGGGTGTACAGAAGTCGTCGCAGAGTGCGCGCGGAAGTTGATGCAGACTGCGTGCAGAAGTCGGCGCAGTCTGCGCATAGAAGTCGATGACCACAGCCTACAAAGTTCGACGTCGACCTGCCCGCAGAATAACCACGTCGACCTGTCCGCGGACTTGGACGTCGAACTATTCGCAGGAGTCGACCTCGGTCTGTTCGCAGAAGTTGAGTCGTCTGATTGTGGGGCTATGTTCGGCGACATTCGGGTGACATCTTCTATGGAAGTCGCTGGTCGACGACAGCGGTCGTTGCTCATTCCGTCTTACGGCTCTACGCAAGCACGTCGAGAGGGTCTGCGCAAGCCCGTCGAGAGGCTTTCCGCGTCAAGTTCGTCGATGAGCTCTGCGCGAACCAGCCAAACGCAGTTCGACAGAGTAGCTTGGAACAAGCCGACCGAAGCTGCTCGGCTACGAAAGTCAAGTATGTGCGTGAACTACGCATCAGGAGGTTTTCGCGCAGTCAACCTGCGAAACGACTTCACGTACTCAACGGTGCACCACTGGTGATATTGTCAACACGTGTTCTACCTGGCAATGTGCCCGGCGACATGGTAATCTATCTGCACCTACTTGGTAGGTGCCTACATGCGCAAACGTGAACCCGCATGTGCGGTGCTGGCAGACCGTTGCAGTGCAATGCTGGCAAAAGTACTCTGTTGCGACGTTGGCAAGCCACTCTTCTGTTGCGCTAGCAGGGCTTGTTTTGCAAAGGGCTTGCTAGGTGTTGCAATGACGTTCTAGATCTATCGACTTGCATGCCTCATTGTAATGTATTTTTCTTTGCAGTTTCTTTGTGAACCTGTTGCCAAATTTCCCTGTGAACAGAGGGATTACTGAGAACGCTAGTAGTGAGTATGATAGTAGAACGAGCAAGTCTGCAGGCAATGCAGCAGCAAGGCGGCTTGCTAGCTTTGCCCACACATGTGAGCATGTGCGCACATCTATGCATCCCGAAAGCAGGTGCAGGTAGACGGTTGCACCGTTGCGCTTCGTTACGCACATTGCTCAGGTGCCAGGCCGGCCACGTGCCGGCAGGTGTGCCAGGTGTGCTACGTCACACACGTCAATTTTATTTGCCAGATGCGCTACGCCAGAAAATAGAGTACAAAAATGAGGGATGCAAATCTATATGTGTGAGGAGGGGCATTGCAACACCTACCAAACATTCCCTAAGGCGAATTGCCTCGCAACATCAGAGAAGTTCCCCAAAGCTGCAGAAGGGTGGCCTTCTATCGTAGCAGAAGGGCGAAGCGCCAACGCTGAAGAAGTGCGGCACGCTAGCATTGTAGACACATGTACACAAGTGCGCACACACCAAGTAGTTGCAGGTCGATGGTTACACCGTCAGGCACATTGCACAGGTGCCTGGTAGGAAACGTGTCGCCGATTTCGCCAGGTGTCCGGCGATGAGCACGTGATGCCGTTCCGCATGTCGAGTTTCACACACCTTCGCGGAGTTTGGCACTCAAGTGAATCTGATCGACCAATTTGCCAATATGACGCTCGCCAAACAGCGCTCCTTGGACAGAGAACGTGGCCTGTTGAAAAGCAACCCGTCCATCTGAGCGCATGCTACTCACTTGCCGATCAAAGGACGGGCTCGTCGAACGACACCCCATCGACCAGACCTCGTCAATTGGTTAGCCAACTAGATAACGGCCTCCTCGAATGTCAACGGAAGTGGTGTGTTGGCCCCGTCATCGCTAGGGCGGAGCCGACTTCGTGGTTGGGTGTACGGGAGGTGCAGCGAACTTGCAGCAGTGGGCGACACTGGCTTGGGCGAGCTGGTCGACGGGTTTGGTCGACCTGCACGGGGCCACTGCAATGCCGCCGACTTGGGAAGCCGGCGGCCGACTTCAACTGGTGGTCGGCAATGTAGCTCGTCGACCTGGAAGTCGGTGCCGACTTGTGAGGTCGCTGACTTGGGAGGTCGCCGACTTGCGGGGTCGCCGACTTGCGAGGTCACCGACTTGCGAGGTCGCCCACTTGGAGGTCGCCAACTTAGGAGGTCGCCGACTTCAAGAGGTTGACCTGGAAGTCGGCGCCGACTTAGAGGGGCGTCGACTTGGTCACGCCGACCGGGAGAAGCCGACTGGGTGTGGTCGGCTAACAGATCTGCTGATCGACCTGGAGCTGGTCGACTAGGAGTGTCATCGACCTGGATTTGGTCGACCAAGGGTGTGGTCGACCTGGTGAGGTCGACTGGAAGTGGTCGTCGACTTGGGTGGTCGACGGGCACGTAAAGGAGCAGCTGGTCGACGTGGTTGCCCGGTCGACCAGGTTACCTGAATGACGAGGTTTTGTGAAGGCACGCGACAGTCGCCCAGGTGTCCGTGGCGAGACCGACCTCGGTAGTGGTATCCCGGGGTCAACGTGGCTGATCAGATGCATTCGTCAGTACGAGGTTGATTTGGTGTGTGCGTTGTGCAGGTGACAAGGCACTGCACGCCAATCACCTGCACGCACCTGCGAAGTAGGTGCGCTGCTGTCATGCGGGAGCAATGCTCGATTTCGTCGACCTACAACGTTGGCACGCCATCGACTTTGCACTGCTGGAGCGCTAGCAGTCGACCTACTTGCTTGATAGCTCTGATGTAGTTGCGGAGATAACTGCTACAACGGGAGCTAGACTACGGGCTAGGCACGGGTGCTCGTG